TGCACAGTTTGGCCCTCTCTTACCAAAATCTGAAATGGCACCCTTGAGACTACCATAAGGTAGTCCCTGGATAGAGAGGATGTGTGTACATAACTCATGGTTGACCTATGTTTGTTAGCCTCTATGGAAGAACTGAGGGGCTAGTGAGAGTTATCTGTAGTGTTAGCTTCCATGTTACATCATTGCAGCTTTCTTAGTCCTACTTAGCTCCAGAAACCAAAGTATCTCTTCATAAGATGTTCATTAGTGTGATTCAGTCAACAGTAATGTGGGATTGTGGTCTAAAAAGAAAAAGCACTGAAAGTGTAACACTTCTATGACTCACAACTTTTCTCTGGTTAAACTTTAAATTATCCTTCACATGCAATCAATATCAGAGGGGTAGCCGTGTTAGTCTGAATCTGCAAAAGCGACGAGGAGTCCTGTGGCACCTTATAGACTAACTGAAGTGTAGGAGCATAAGCTTTCGTGGGCAAAGACCCACTTCGTCAGATGCATGTAGTGGGTCTTTGCCCACGAAAGCTTATGCTCCTACACTTCAGAGTCTATAAGGTGCCACAGGACTCCTCGTCGCTTATGCAATCAATAGCGAATAACAATCTTTAGTATCTTCAGAACACAGCATGTGCCCCTTACAACTAAAGATAGAAGGTTGAATTTGAATCTGTACTAGTACGATCCATTAATGTAGCAAAAGAGCTACTTCCCCTCAACCTTTACAATGATCAGTAGACTCACAGCTGGGGAGAAAGCTCAAGTATCACTAGATTTGTCCTTTTCATTGAAGTTATTTGGTGGGGTGGAGGTGGTACTTGGCACTTCTGAAAGTCAGGCCAAGTAACTTATTTAAAGGACTGCCAGGAATCTTGCTAAAAGGTTGATGGAAGCTCCATAGATGACCCATCAAGTGCATAAATCCAAGTATGCTTCATCTCTTAAGCTCCCCAGGTACTTTATAAACTTTCAATCAAAACAAAACAATTGAAGGACGTAGAACTAGGATAACAAATTACTGCAAGGAGAAATGATTTGTAAAAGATTTATTAGTTGTGCCACTCGTGTACAAGACAACTGCATTTGTTTTCTTTATATCACAAGAAGAAAAAATTGTGCTTAAAAAAAGTCATTGCCCTGAAGAGTCATTTTCTGAAGGAATGACTAATGGCCTTTTTCCCCCATTGAACATTCTAGCCTTTACAACTATTTTAAAAATTATTTACGTGGCACCAAGATTTTGGCTCCAAAACTAAACTGGAGTTTTCACCAACAGACGCTTTGGTCATTCCACTCCAT